AAGTAAAATTAAGTAGTACGTACTAGTAGTAATAGTAAGTAAAAGTTTAAGGTTTTAGTTTCGTTCTTACTCTCGTAGTGTTGGTTGTAGTAGTTGTAACTAGCCTCCTCTCTCTCTCTCTCTCTCTCTCTCTCAAAATACATTTGAAATCATTGAAAAATCTTAATGGCATGTTCTTTCATGGAAAATACCATTTTTTTTACTTTCTTTTTTGGGAACTAAATCAGATTTGAAGGAATCCTACTCTTTTCCTCAATAGATAACAGATAAGTGTAATAAATAGCTTCGATACAAAACTTGACAGTATTGAAAATGCAACTGGATACGCTGTATTGGATGGGTAAAGCCAGGAGTGTCATTAAAGAATGGTACTAAACTTCTAAATAGTAAACCACTATTAAGAATAGATTCCCTCTTAAATTAGCTCATAAGATGTCCGCCACCTTTCTCCTTTCTCTTTGTGCATGCAAATTTTGCCATTTTCATAAAGTTAAGCAATATTGGAAAATAGGCATGAATATTTGAAGTCCGCACAATTTTTTTTTATTTTTTATCTGTTGACAATAATTTGGAGTCCACAAATTACTTGAAGCAATGAAGCACTCTCTCTATTAGATGTTTCTCAAATAACATATGTTTGGCTAATTCCATCACCTTCCCTAGAACATAGGCTCCCCCACTCAACTACTTGAAATGGAGGCGGCAACCCTAGCACACTCTCTACATTGACATTAATCCAACACAAAAAGGATTTCTTTAACATAAAATTTTGTTAATTAATTTTTTTTTAGAAAATTATCCTATAAAATAATTTTTTATTAATTAATTTTTCCTTTCCTGCCATTATTTCTCCAGTTTGTTTGCATGTCACAAAAAACCAAATAACTATGAAATATAATGGGATTGCATCTTTAAGGATTATGAGATTCAAAGGATAATTTCCTCCATTGTACAATAAACATTTGCACAAATGGAGAGTGACATCCATCACCTACAAATGACATGCATCCCTATTAGCAATGACAAGTCAATTATACCAAAATATAATTTAAATTTGTATTAATGTATCCTACAGAAATGGCTCCTTGAGACGGTGTATTCCCTTTCACCTATCAAAAGTTTCAAATTGAAAATCCATTGTGGAGTCCGTGAAGTGTATCATTTTTAGATTGCATTCGTCAAAGGTCATGAACCAGTATTAACTTTTTTTTCCCCATTTTTGTCTTGATGTTCGCAATTATTCAATTATTACAAAAAGGGGCAAATTTTGCCTATTTTATACCACTCTCAAGAGTAGAGATACCGTGAACCGATAATGAGGGGTTCGGTGATAATAGATTTTTGGCGTGCATTGACTGCCAACCGATAACCTGCTATAATTTGTAATTGCCATATTATGCCAATTTACATTATTTGATTATCACAAATATCCAAATGGGTCATTAGCTTATGCATTCACCTTTCAGCACCTTTGAGGCGATGAAAATAGATTAGCATATTTGAGGTGAATGTACCTCTCGTATGCATATAACATCCATAATTTAAAAAATACCATTTCATTATTCACATAGTAATACTGATATCAATATTATGAATGTACAAAACATCGTTAGAAATTCATGTTGACTGCCTAGCCAACCTTCATTAGCTATTTGTTAGTAGATAGATTGCTTCGGGAGGATATGTACATTGTTGCCATTAGGTATCCTCACTATGGAACACGATGCTTCCTTAGGCAAATAATTGAGTTATACATACAATAATCTACTGTTGCTAGTAAAAGTTAAAGTAATACACAAAAAAGAACTTCCTTATGAGATTCTACCTGGAAACACCAGAATTGAAAGAATTTGAACTTCGTATAAAATGAAACTTTTAGTCTATAGCCTTAGAAGATTCTCCAATAAAAGAAGTTTTTGTGAATTAATTTCACCTTTCCTGCCATTATTTCTCCATTTTCTTTACTGGCTACAAAAACCACATACCTATAAAATGTAGTGAGAATCCATCTTTTAAAAATTCTGAGATTCAAAAAGATAATAAAAATGAAAAGGAAATTAATTTGAATTTGTATTAATGCTTCCGACGAAAACGGTTCCTTGAGATAGTATTTTCCTTTTCTTCTACCAAAAATTTCAAATTTCAAATCTAATATGGAGAGCCAGCGAACAATATCATTTTTAGATTTCATTCATTAAAGTTCACGAACCGATATTGGAGAGCCAGTGAACAATATCATTTTTAGATTTCATTCACTAAAGTTCACGAACCGGTATTAAATTTTTTTCTCATATTTTCCTTGATATACTTATCACAATTATGTAATCATTACAAAAACGGGAGAATTTTGCCTATTTTCATACCACTATTCTTCATACCACTCTAAAGAATAGAGATACCGTGAACCGATAATGATGGGTTCGGTGATAATAGATTGTTGGCGTGCTTTGCAATTGCCATATTATCCCATTGTACATTATTTGATTATCACAAAATATCCATATAGATCATTAGCCCATACATGAACCTTTCAGCATTAAAGTTCTTGAAACATAGATTAAAATCTTTGAGGTCAATGAACCTCTCATATTAACTTAACATCCATAATTTACAAAATACCATTTCACTAATCAATTTCTTTCACAATTCACATAGTAATATTAATAACAATATTATGAATGTATAAACATAATTAGAAATTCATGTTGACTGACTAGTCAAACTTCATTGGCTCATATTTGTGAAACACTATACAGTTTTATTTGTTAGTAGGTGGTTTCTTTGGGAGTACAGGTACATTGTTGCCATTAGGTCCTCACTAGGGAACAAGATGCTTCCTTTGGCAAATAATTGAGTTATACATGCAGTAATCTATTGGTTCTAGTAACAATTATAGTTGTACATGACTTCCTTGAGAGATTCTACAAGAAAACCCCATAATTTTAATAATCAGAACTTTGTATAAAATAAAACTTTCAGTCTATAGCCTTAGAAGATTCTCCTATAAAAGAAATTTTTGTGTATTAATTTCACCTATTGTGCCATTATTTCTCCATTTTCTTTGCTTATTACAAAACCCAAATAGCTATGAAATATAGTGCGAATCCATATTTTATAAGATATTCAAAAGATAGTTTCTCCATTGCACAAGAAACATTGTTTCTTGCCCAAATGGAAAGTGATATCCATCAACTACAAATAATAGACATCATTTTATAAATGAAAAGGGAATTAATTTGAATTTGTATCAATGAATCATACGGAAACAGCTCCTTGAGATAGTATATTCCTTTTCTCCCACAAAAATTTTAAATTTCAAATTCATTATGGATAGCCAGCAAACATTATCAATATCAGATTGCATTTGTCAAAGTTCACAAACCAGTATTGATTTCTTTTCCCATTTTTTCCTTGATATACTTATCGCAATTATGCAATAGTTTTAAAAACATGTGAATTTTGCCTATTTTTATACCACTCTCAAGAATAGAGATATCGTGAACCGATAATGGTGGGTTTAGTGATAATAGGTTTTTGGCTTGCGTTGGCTACCAACCTTTAAGCTACTATATACTGTAATGTGCAATTGCCATATTATGCCAATTTTACATTATTTGATTACCACAAAATATCCAAATAGGTCATTAGCCCATGTGTGCACCTTATAGCACCAAAGTTCATAAAACATAGATTGGCATCTTTGAGGTGAATGAACCTCTCATATCAACTTAACATCCACAATTACAAAATACCATTTCACTCATAAATTTCTTTTATAATTCACATAGTAATATTGGTAGCAATATTATTAGTGGAACAAATATCATTAGAAATTCATGTTGACTGACTAAACAAACTTCATTAGGGCATATTTATGAAACAATATTCAATTTTCTTCTTAGAAGCAGAATTGCTTTGGGAGGATAGGTATGTGTTGCCATTAGGTATCCTCATTGGGGAAAGATCTGCTTCCTTTGGTAAGTGATTGAGTGTACATGCAATCATCTACGCGTGCTAGTAAAAAATAAAGTAGTATACAAAAACAATATTTCCTTGAGAGCTTCTACAAGAAACCCTAAGATTGAAATAATTTGAGTGTTGCATATAATGAATTTTTCAGTCTATAGCCTCAGAAGATTCTCCTGAAAAGTAAATTTTTGTGAATTAATTTCTCCTTTCCTACTATTATTTCTCCATTTTCTTTGCTTGTCACAAAAAAGAAATAGCTATGAAATATAATGAGAATCCACCTTTTACAAATTATAATATTCAAAAGATAATTTCCTCCATGGCACAAGAAACATTTGCTTGAATAGAAAGGGACATCCATCAATAATAGCCATCCATATTAGCAATGAAAAGGCAATTAATTTGAATTAGTATTAATGACTCCTATGGAAACGGCTCCCTGGGATAGTATATTCCCTTTCTCCTACAAAAACTTTCAAATTGAAAATCCATTATGAAGAGCCAGCGAACAATATCATTTTTAGATTGCATTTCTCCAAGTTCACGTACCAGTATTAACTTCTTTTCCCAGTTTTACCTTGATGTACTTATCGCAAATATGCAATCATTTAAAAAACATGTGAATTTTGCCTATTTTCATACCTCTCTCATTAGTAGAGATATTGTGAACCGGTAAAGGCGGATTTGGTGATAAGAGGTTTTTGGCATGCGTTGATGTCAACCTATAAGCTTCTAGAATGCATAGATGCTATATTATACCAATTTATGTTATTTGTATATCACAAAATATTCAAAAGGGTCATTAGC